ACTGTGAGGGTGACAGAGCATTGGAACAGGTTGCCCAGAGAGGTGGTGGAGTCTCCTTCGCTGGAGATATTCAAAACCCGTCTGGATGTGATCCTGGGCAATGTGCTCTAGAGGACCCTCCCTGCTTGAGCAGGGAGGTTGGACTAGATGATCTCCAGAGGTCCCTTCCAACCTAAACGATTCTGTGATTCTGTGACATTGTTGAGGACAGGGCTGGAGATGTACTTTTGGAAGGAGGCACTCCATGCCAGAGGAGGTATGCCTGTGTAGGGCCTGTGGCCCGTGGGGGACCCGCACCGGGGCAAGGACACCGCGAAGGGAGCGTGGCCTGTACACGACCCACCGTGAGGTGGGCTGGGAGCTGGTGGGGAGCTGGAGCCCAGGAGGTGCGAGGACAGGCCGAGGGCATGGGGCTGTTCAGCCAGGAGAAGAGAAGGTGTAGAGGGATCAGATTGCTGCCTGCATGTGCCTAACAGGAGGGTGGTGAGAGGATGGAGGCAGAACCTTCCCAGAGGAGCCTGGAGACAGGACGAGGAGCATTGGCACACACGGCAGTGGGGAAAATTCCCATCCAAGACAGGAAAAAGCACTGGAGCCTAAAGGTGGTCAAGCACTGGACTGGGGGCCCTGGGTCGTGGGGGAATCCATGGAGCCAGTCTCATGCCGACGGCGCCCGACCCTGGGAAGCATGCTCTGGTTGGCCTCGCTTGCAGCAGGAGGTCACAGCAGAAACCTGCCACAGGCCCTTCCCAGCCTGACCGCTCTGGGACTGTGAACGCCTGACCACATTTCTCTGCAGCTCTGTCTCTGGAGATCAACCTGATACCAAGTAACTGTCCCAGAATGGATGTAAACTGGGGATGTACCTGGGTCAGCCTCTGACATGGTTCTGAACGATGAGGTTGAATTTGCCTCAGGGTTGTGCTCAGATGCAATCTGCACAGGGAGAGCAAAAAATCCCCCATGTGCCATCAGTTCCGATGCTCAGGGCACTGGTTTCATGGGATAAGTGTGGAGAATGGTGCAGGGCTTTGGGATGCTTCCCAAGGGAAGGTCCCTGCAGCTGGCACGCCAGCAGAACAGTGCTTGTGGTGGGCCACAACAGCAGGGCTGGGCTGGGCGCCGCGCCAGGCCCCAGTGGCAAATGGAGCCGGGCGGGTGCGCTGTAGACAAGGGCTGCCTCGCAGGGGGTGCGGGGGCTGCTGCTGGGGCCAGCCCCTTCCCTCCTCACTCAGCACCTGTCCCCCAGGCTTGAAGGCTATGCAGGGCACGCAGGGGGTGTCAGCCCTTGTGCCTGCGGCAGGCTGCACCAGCCAACATCAGGCATCTCCCCATCACGCACACACCACACACAGCTCCCACATCTGGCTCCCTGGGATGTACAGAGCTGACCACGCGCTCCTTGCTCACCTCATCGCAAGGCCAAAGCCACTGGGTCTTCTTCATCTGGGGTGATGGTTGTGCTGTTCCCTTCATCCTGAAGAGCTCCAGCCAAGGGCATATTTGCTGGCTTGGCTCCTGTGGGCACTGCCAGTGGGAGAGGTGCGTGCTGGAAATTGCTGGCTTCTTCTCTGGCAGGGCCTCTGGCCCTGCTGCCAGGCAAGTAGGGCACCATTAGGTTCAGGGAGCTCAGTATGATCTGATCCTGATAATGCAGGTGGTGGCATTTTCCTCCACCTGCCTCCCTTCTAAAATGCCTTTGTCAGCATCCCCCTTCTCTCCTTCCTCCTCTGTCGTGCTCCCTTGCTTTTCCCCCAGAGCTGCCAGGACTCTCATCCCTGCTGCCACCTCCTGCTCCATCTTCAAAGCCTGCTGTCATGGGTCCCGCCCTGCTCCATTCGGGGCAGAGGTAGCCTGTCCGTTTGGTGGGACGAAGCTGGGGACTGGCTGCACCACATTGCTGCAGGCTCCCAATGGCCCACCCGTGAGAAGGAGGCGCTCAATGAAGGCACTTGCAGTGGCACGAGCGGCCCCTGAAGTGCCCAAAACCCCAGCCACATTTGCAAAGGGAAGCTCATGGCCAAGCACAGCCAGGCTCAGCTCAGCCCAGAACTGCTCTCTGCCTCTCAGGGCAGAGCTCACCAGGGCCATGGCATATCCTCAGTCAGCTCTGCCCGAGAGAAAATCCCTAGGGCCAGGAAGAAATTTCCCCTCACCACCGGAGCTCAGGGCTGCCTGTCTCACCACCCTTCCCCACCAGCCTCATGCTCACCATGTGGGTCCCGTCCCTATTGCCTGCCTCTCCCTCCAGCCCCATCGCTCACCTCGCTGCGCTCCTGCACACCCATCCGCAGGCTGGGAGTGGGCATTCGCCTCCCACTCCGTGGGCATCTCCAGGATCCTCTGCCAGAGACCTGCCGCACCAGCACCAAGGGTAGCTGCTCCCTCCTGCTGGAGCCAGCATCTTTCTGGCCTTTCCCTGCTCAGCCCTGCCCACAGGCAATTCCTCGACACCCTCTGCTTTCAGGGACAGGAGGAGACTTGTCCGCAGAAAGACTTGAAGATGTGACCTGTTGTGGCTGGAAAGCCCAAAGGTTGCAATGAGGGTCCCTTAGAGGTGGGTCCCCAGAAGTAGGCTGTCCTGCCTGCAGAGCAGGCCCAGGGCACAGGGTGTCCAACTGCTGTGTCCAGTGCTGGGCTCCCCAATACAAGAGAGTCATGGAGCTCCTGGAGCGAGTGCAGGAAAGGGCTGCTAAGATGATGAAGGGCCTGGAGCATCTCTGCTATGAGGAAAGGCTGCGAGAGCTGGGCCTGTTGAGCCTGGAGAAGAAAAGGCTGAGGGGGGAGCTGATCACTGTGTATAAATACATGAAGGGAGGGTGTCAAGAGGAGGGGGCCAGGCTCTTGTCAGTGGTGCCCAACGACAGGACGAGAGGCAACGGGCAGAAACTGAAACACAGGAAGCTCCATCTGAGCATGAGGAAAAGCTTCTTGACTGTGAGGGTGACCGAGCACTGGAAGAGGTTGCCCGGAGAGGTTGTGGCATCTCCATCCTTGGAGCTATTCAAAAGCCGTCCGTCCGGACATGGTCCTGGGCAATGTACTGTAGGTGACCTTGCTTGAGCAGGGGGCTTGGACTAGCTGATCTCCAGAGGTCCCTTCCAACCTCAACCACTCTGTGATTCTGTGCCCTTCCTCATGGTCCCTGTGGCAGCTGGGTGTCTGGCACCTGCCTCCCCTCAGCCCCCCACTCCTGGGTGTCCCCACCGCCAGGCGTTTCTGATGTGCTTGATGACCTCACTGTCCCAGCCCTGTCCCCGTCCCAGGGCACAGTGGTCACAAAGGGTTTGTATGGGGAGGCAAGAGCAGCTCCAAAGGGTTGCGCGTGCTCCCGAGCCCTTTGCCCGTGGCCCTGCCATGCTGGACACCGTGGGGATGGCTCAGCACAGCTCTCTCCCTACTCTGGGGCAGCAGCCTCCTCCTGCCTCTGCCTGCCTGGGCTGCCCTGCACAGCTGACGCAGCACCTCCAGCAAATGCCGTCAGGTAGGAGGGAGGCTGTGGGGCAACCCTTCCTCAAAGTCCTGGGGTTATATCATCCGAGCAAAGGCTCATTTGATTAAACACAAAGCCCCAGCCAGCATCAGGGGAGCAAGGACAGCCAGAAGAAACCACAGGACCAAAGCTAGGAGGAAGGAGCACGCTGAACCGGCTGCAACCCCTGCCATCGCAGGAGAGCGACTCGGTCGTTATCCCCAAGGCAAGACCAATCAAGATGGGTCATGGAAAGAAACTCCATTCACCTTAATCACGACAGAATTTACTGAGAATCACCACCAAGATTAGACGTGTCAGTAGAAAAATAAAATTTACACCGCTTTCTATCCCACAGAGATTTGTTCATGACTGCTGCAGCAGTCAGTTAAATACAAAGTCAGGGTGGTCTAAAGCAGATCAGCGCACAGTAGGTCCACACCCAGAAAGCAGGACTGCGAATCTCAGCTCGAGCAGCGACATTTCTCCAGTGCAGAAGGCTTTTCTTTGACTGACGCTCCTGCCTGGGCCCTCTGGACAGGGCTTCACAGCAGCACCCGCTCTGGGACACAGAGGCACGTACATTTTTGCAAGCTCTGTGCAGCTTTTGGCACCAGAGCGCAGCAAGAAACGTGTGCTTCCCCCAGACAATCCCAGCACGTTTTCCCAGGCCAGAGCAACAGCATTAACCTCTCTAAACACACAGCGTTTCTTCACCTACTGCTCTGGCCTGCTCTAGGCTAAGCTGCTGCCTAGAGTTGAGCTGAGAACTAAACCTACAGAGGCACCAAGGCCTCTGCAAACATGCAGCGCACTTCAGAGAAAGAACTGGACGAGGCTGGGTGGTACAACCACCCAACACCCAAACTGCGGCCAAGCTTCAAACTCTTCAAAGTGGAGCAGACTCCCCTCAAAAGAGATTTTGGGAGATTGCAAAGGACCCAAAACTGGCTGTTTTCCGGCAGCCCAGCCCTGAGTGCTGTCATGAAGTGCAGAGCTCTCAACAGCAAGGGTTTGCATCATGCAGGTTTCTTGCATCATCTCAAACATGAGACTGAACCTGCCCAGTCTACCTGCGGCAAAAAGCTCTGCTCTGCCACGTGGCGGGGAGGGTGGCCTGTGGGGCGGGCTGCAAAGCGCACGAACTGTCCCGGCAGGCG